GTATAGGGTTTAAAAGCCCTCTTCTTGAATCAAAGTGTCCACTGAGTAGTGAACTCGGCTGTCATCATTTAGTTGCTCAACTATTTTATTATTTATTTCGTCACAAAGTTCATTCTTTGGTGAAAGTATTGCATGCTTTTTTGTCCTTTTTAAAGCATCTTCAGAGAATCCTTAACTGAAGATTTTGTCAATAATATTTTAATTCACAATACATTGGGGCGGAAGTCGTATCACCAAAGATACCACCAAGCACCGGAGACTCACCAAGACACCAAGATCATTATGGTAGCTCTCTTGGCCATTATCTATTCATAAAAGATATTTAGCAAATATTGATTCGCTTGGATTGGCTCTAATGTTTTTTGCAAGTAAAATCTTTTTATACATTGGCCATAAAGGTGATCTAATTATTGAATTTTCTACTATTGCACAGCGACTCGTGCCAGGTACTATGGGAGCACATTGCAGAAAATCACCTCCCAAAACAACAGAGAATGTAAATATTTAAATGACACAAGGGAAAGAGGTTATTTTTATAAAGACAGATGTTTTTTTAGAAATGAATCATATGTTTGATAAACTTTACTAAATTTTCACCTATATTTAAAAATACATGGCAACTTTTAAGTCCAATGGGGCGAAGCACATTGAACTGAGCGTGACAAAAATTATTCCATGACTTCTGCAGATAATTCCCTTTAATTTGACACATCAATCATCAAAATCGGTTAATAAATAAAAGAGTTTTGCTGTGCACAAGAAATTCCTTACGGAATTAGTATAATAGATTATTTATTTATATGCTTTATAGTGACTGCAGGAAAAAATATAATGTGTAACACGAGGCAAATGGTCTTTGCTGCACTCTAGAAAGTATTGTTTAACTAGTGAACAAAGTGGCACTTTGATGCACACGAGAGAAATGTTTAAACACGAGCCGCTGGTGAAGTGTGGGGTTCTATACATTTCATTAATTCTTTCCATTCAATCAATTAATCCAAATAACTTATAAACTTAAATAGGCCTACATGATGACGATTTTTAGTCCAGTTCGGCTTCGTCTTCTAAATTATTATCACAATATAACATAGTGTAGGCCTATACAAGATCTAATGATTAGTCGAAAATGCACATTTTTGTAAACTGACTCTACTTATTTTCCACTTGTAAAATTGGACCGATTACGAAACCCAATTACATAAGTACTCTTTCTATATTTCTAATCATATTAGGTTACTAATAGCATAACACGAGTATGACAGTCATAAACATATTTACGTAAAGTGATTTTGAACAGTGAGTAAGTTAGATTTTGTTTTTCAGTAACTCGTTGGTTACGTCATTGTTTTAATAAAAGATGACTTCTAACTGCTGTATAGATTGCCATCAAGGTAAATTATGTCGCTTAAACGTGTATTTATTAAATGTATGATTTATGAAATTTGAATTGTTAGGCAACTATTAATAAATTTACAACATTATCCTTTAGGATTTGGTACTGAATATTTGGTAAGTAGTTTATACCTAAGACATAACTATTCACAAAGAAATAAACCCAAATATTTTGTTCTCTAAACTAAATACTGTGGAAATTTCCTTTTCACATTTAATTGCCACCAAAGGGCAGAAAAGGGCGTGGTGCAGAAGGCTGAAGTGAGCTCAAGGGTGGTTCTGATCCCTTATTGTTTCTGCGCCCTTGACGCCCTCCTTAGCGCTCTTTAGCTGTAGATTAATCGGCGGCTTTCTGACTGTTGCTGGCGTCTGCAACGTGGTTGTCTTAGGTCGTGTGATATGTCCAACATGTGATAGACCAAATGACGTAGAACAGTCAAAGCAATTGACCATTGGTCACTGGTGATATTTGAAACCAGACCTTCATTATAAAAATCCTGCATCTTTACCAATAGACCAAGTAGCAATCGTAGCAAAAATTTGTTTAAAACGATAAACTAAATGAAATCGTCGTGTTTTAATTAAAATAAAGGCAACGACTAATCTTGAATAAGATTGATTTGTACACGGTGGTTTAATTATTCATTAAATACTTTAAAATCGGTTACGAGATTATTTAGGCAATTCTCCTAAATTGCTTAAATAATAAAAATTTACGAATGTACAACACATACATGTGTGCTTACTATTGAGTAATTACACTGAAATTTAAAACAATGTGTTTAAATATTGGAAACAAACAAAATATAATGACTGATATACTTTAATGCCCTTTGTTGTGGGTGTTAGGACACTTTTACCAATCTGAAAAAAAACAATTACCCTGTCCATTCAAGTTTTCTGTTCGGAGACAATTTAAATGTACAGGTTTTGAATGGCACAGTTCAACATGGCTATTGAATATTAACTAGGGGAAACCCGTCTAAATCGACGGTTACTTTCAAGGCTTACGTTAATTCATCTAACTACGATGAATTGGGTGAAATATACATATTTTGAGCATTTAACATTGTTCAAAGAGTAAGTGTAAAAACAATAACAATATTGCGTTAGTTGCCAAATTTGGTTGTTAATTCAATGATTAAAATATTTCCTATCCTGTACGTCATCGGAGTTATTATTAGTATGTTATATGGTATCTCTTCCTTTGGTAGAACCTTTAAATAGTATTTAAATCGTATTGGTGGATCTTTTGTAGCTAAACACTTCCGTGATTTCATCAGTGTTTGAGACAAAATATATGTTTGTTGAGAAGACACGTTCTAACTTCAAAGGGAGGTATATCCGTTACAGTGTAAGCTTGATTTTCCTTCGTCACGTCGCGTCAGTTCATATCGTACTTCTGTGCCAATGAATGAACCCTCTAGCATAGTTTTGAGAAATTGACTGTGGGGTTACTGATAAAGCTGGAATTCCTTGACATGGGGGATGTCAGTTAGTTGTCTCGTCTCGGCCTCATCAATAACATAAAGTTGTCAATATAATCTCTCTACGGAATGTTAAGTGTAGTGGAATACATGAAGTAAAGTTGGCTTTTATTCTTGAACTGTGTTATTCTGAACTCCTAGTTCATGATCTTGGCGGCTTCATTGGCAATAAATAATGCAAATGACATAGCAATTGAACATTTCCAAAAAGAAAAAATACTGTAAAATGGCTATTGACGTTTACATATTGTTAATCAACGTATATGATAAATACTTTAATCCTTTAATACGTTTTTTTTATGGCGACCATTCATAGTAGGTAAGTCAAGTATGAATGGAGATGAGTGTAGGAAGAGTAGCGCGATCTTGAAGTCTTGTTAGTTACTAAGGCCGACATTCCTTAGATACTGCTGTTAATTAATAGCCCATACAGCGAATGGCAACCAAGGGATCTACAGTTTATAGTTGAATTGGAACCAAATTTTTTTGCATTGGTATTTATGAATTGGTATAATTATCAGGATAGCACTGCGGGTAGTCGTAGTACTCACTCGTGCGGACGTTAATCCACACCAGGGAGTATCGCATCCACAGTGCATTCCTATAAATATCCACAATTCGTGACCTCCTAGTAGCTGGATTACAGGACGACGCCACCCGTCCCAGTCAAAGGATTATGTGATCTAGTTTAAAAGGAATATGACCTTTCTGTCATGACAGTAGCTGCTTAAATAGTATTTTCTCTTTGTACCATATTTTACAGCCAAACTGTCGTGTTATTTTCAATAATGTTACTAATTCAGTGTGCCAAAGTCCGTAATATAGGCAGGTGCAAATTATTTGTCAAGATAGGTCAAGATAGGTCAAGATAGGCCATTTTAGGCAATGTTTCTAAGTTTGGATTTTATTAGATACAATAAGAGCAGATATTTCTACATAAATATTTGATATTTTGTAGAATAATATGATAAAATGTAGGCAAAAGTGGCGAAAAAGGCACATACCAACCCGTACAATATATATAAGATAGTTCAATAAGATATAATTTAAGAATTGCTGTGATAAAAGGATTTTCCACTGATTTCGTAATGGAACGTTATATTGCAAAACATGGAATGATAAAGAAGAAAATCAATTTTAAAATCAGAAAATAACATTGCAAATACTTATTTGGTAGAATTCAACTCCCAATAAATATGTGTTGTTTGAAATACAATTTAAAAATGAACAGCTGTTTCATTAAAAAGTATTATCCTCATGGCCAAAATGTAAACAACTCTGTGGAGGGATCTTTAAAGGCTTCTGGGGCAGAGTCCTAAAGGATTTTGCTTAGTTTTTCTTTTCATAACTCATCTACAGACCAAGACCTTTCTTTGGACACCTCTACCAAGTTTCTACGCCCAACCGTTCTCTCAAATTAGTGGGGACAAAGTTTCAAATCAAATATTTAGATTCCCCCATGTTAATCTTATGGGAGAAACTCCAACTTTGATGGCCTGTGGGGCAAAGCCCGAGGATTTTTACTACATGAATTGGTGAAAGGGGGTGTCTACACAAAAAATATTTTATTTTGACACGTCGTTTGTAAAAATCCGTCCATTATTAACGGAGGAGTAGTGTTTTCAAGAAATCGCCTTCACGTATTATATATAAGGATGCCACTGATGAGGGAAATATTAAAATCAATTGATTTAATATTCTTTTCGTCACAACGCAATAGAGCACTCGAATCCAAATGCATTTAAAAGATTTGTATTCAGACTTTTAAGCTCTTATTTCAAAGACGTTTTAGAACTTACCTGCATTATGATGGCTATTTGGTCTGAAGAAGATTACTGTTCGTTCTTTGTTGCTATGGTCAGTGCTTTGAGATTCAATAAAATAATAAAAAATACAAAATATATTTGAATATTTTTGACGAATCTTATGTATTTCGTCACTGTTTATTCCAGACCAGAACAATTCCTTTTTCATGAATTATAATTTCAAATACGTTTTCGAGTTTGTCTGTATATTATAATAACTTTGGGTACGAAAGATAACTGTTTTGTTTATATCTAGAAGTAGTGTTGTTTATATCTAGAAGTAGTTTTGTTTGTGAGTAAATTTGATTTGAAAATGTTTAATTTTGAATATGTATTGCCATAAAAGAGTGAACACTATGGTGTGTTCTGTCTGGGTTCTTCTCCTTAATTGTAACAGGCTGTGAGAGATGTTCCATACTTGAGTCCAACCTTTGCCAGAGCCTGTTTTGCTGCATTCACTAGCTTAGATGTGCAAGAAGCTTTTAGAACACCCTTGTTAACTAACACCGAACCTGCCGATACGTTTGCACCTGTAAAAATATAAATTAGCGTAAATAATGCTTAGTATTTTCAGATGTACAGGTGAATAATGTACGTACATTCAGTTGCAGTTTTATATTTTTTACCTAACCCGCCATGTTAAACTTCCCTATCCCAAGCGTGATGTATACAACTTCGTTACTTCTCGAGTGATGTAAAGTATCAAAAACTCACTCGGTGATGTAATGAAACCCATTTAAATAACATTGAGTAATTAACTTAAAAAATATACCTCTATGGAGCCAACGACGTTCAACGCTAGAAATCAGCTGTGCTCTTGAATTTTATTGTTATGTTTTGAAGAATTTTCCTAACCTAGCTTTTTTTTGTTTGTAAATGAACGTTTACTGTTAGAAGATGAGTGAAATGAATGATGATTAATATTGTTCGTAACCTCCTGTATATTGTCGGGTCAGGTAAAATCTTGTACGTTACACGTTACGCAAGAGCGTGTTTACATCACTTAGGTAAATTATGCAACTCGCTTCCGCTCGTTGCACAACCTTCACCTGCGTGATGTAAAAACGCTCTTACTACACTTGTAAGGTAAATAGCTATTACACCATCCTTAAAATCCAATAAGTTATGATTATTTCAAAGGTAAAAAATAAAAACTGAATGATTATCTCTAGATCAATTTATTTTATCGAGCAGGTTATACTGATTTTTGGAAGATCAGTTTCCTATGAAATTAGATTTACAAAAGACTTCCGTTTACTAAAATGGTAAAGGGTTAATTTGTCATTATATCGAGGGTAAAAGTAGCTTATCTTGTTGAACATTGCCTCATACCATAGGATTATTTGGTCAGAGAGATAATTATATACCACCAAATTGTGGATTTATTTTTTACGATAACATAAAGAATCAACATGATTCATCTATATTTTCGTATCATGGGCGTAAAATTTAGTAAAAGTAAAATCTAGTATGCACTAAGTACTAACTATTGTTAGTGGAAACCTACCACTGACACTGCATGAATAGCACGCACACACTGAGTAGTCAGGTGAATGGTAGACGACGTATGTGTACCTCAGAACATCACCAGTGTTTGGGTCTGTAAACGTTGTAAACTGTATTAAAGTATAACTGCAGGAGACTTAACACTATTCGCCCACCAATTCAGCAAACAATAAAAAAGCTGAAATAGAATGCCTATTTCTACCTATTCAATAGGGCCTACCTTTAATTCTTTAACATTTTTGTGTACACAGTTTTTTTTTTTTAATTTGATTCATGGATATATGTGTAATTCGGAATCTGTTCATCGGTGTTTAATTTTTCCCCAGCGGAAGGTAATTTTTTCATGAATTTTTACTAACAGAAACTTAGAGAAACGCAATACATATCGTACATACTACCCAATTAACTAATCTTTATTAACATGGCATGCGTTGACATAGTGGCTTTTTAAACTAAGAGTGGCGTTGTCCTTTTATTCAAATTGTAATGAACTGTTTAGTAGCGCAACAAAAGATTTATGACAATAATACAAAGGATTGATTGATCTCTTAAAACCATTGCAAACAGTTTTGTTGAAAAACTTTTGGAAACTATAACATTTGGTAACCGGAATCAATTGACTAACTTTATAGTGGTTAACTTTATCAATGGGTTGACTTTATTTTGTATTATAAATTTCCTTGAGACCAAAGTCTCAAGATGTTGGAATATGTACCATAAAATTACCATAATAATTACCTCTAAAGTTACCATAAGAAGATTTTTATTTTTATCGTTTACTACTCGTCACGAAAGTTCCATTTCAGGGCTCGATAGTTTTTCCGTGCTCAGCTTTGCCTCGCTCGTTCGTAAACCATTATCTTGCTTCGAAATGGACCACTTTGAGGTTATTACTAGTGAAGTATAATATTTTAGACTCACTCAAGAAATTCGCAAGATCTCTAAAGAAAGTCTAGTGGTTTCATTAAAATTAGATTTTTTGCCATACATTAAATTCGTAGGAGAAAAATAACTATGAATATTTAAAGGCTACGTCTAACTAACCGTGTTTTAGAACACGGAATAATGGTTAAACCGTTTACATAAATAAATAATGAAATAAACAGAAGTATTACGTACAACATTATTAAAAGTATATTTAACAACAAACATGGTTGTGGATTGTGAATTCCTGGATATATTTTAAAACGTTTTTATTAGCCCGCTTTCTTGTCCGGTACAAATTTTGATATCGATTTTAAACTAACTTCCTGATAAGCTAGAGACTTGAAACTTGAAACATAGCTCGCAAATGGATGACAATGCAATAATCATTTTATTTTCATATTTCCAGGCCCCATTCATATTGGGGCTAGGCCCCATGGGCTTCAAAATTGTCCATATTTACATTTTGGAAGAATGTAAACATATAAATTGAAGTCAGCTGTAAATACTTAAATTTGACAGTTCAAAGAGCAGAGATTAAGAGGTACAAATGTTCTGCTCCCGAGAGATTCTAAAATATAAAACAAGCATTTTAAAGTAAAGATAAAACATCTGATTACAGCCAATAAGGTTTTGGTTATGTATTAACAGGCCATATAAAATATATTTCACATTTACACAATAAAGACTAAAAGTAGAAAATAATTTATAAATATGTGGAGGGAATAAATACTTGTAAGATTTAAAACGAAAAACGTGGGGCGCATGCAATAGACAATAACAGTTCAATAGGTGAAGATAATTGTAAATTAGCATGCACCCCACGTTTTTCGTTTTAAATCTTACAAGTATTTATTCCCTCCACATATTTATAAATTATTTTTTACATTTTAGTACGTTCAAAAACGTGGCATTTTTAAAAAGTATTACTATTTATAAATTTTTACAGTATTAACTTGCCTATTTTCACATTACAAAATCAATTACTTACCTATGACCAACTCTTTGCCATCCTTATAGCCTAGAATGTACGATCCTTTTAGAACTCTGCGAAAATTAAAAGTGGATTGATTAAAAAAATAAAATGTGAAAAAGCTGATTTAAACGTCATAGTTCGTAGTTTTCAACTAAAAACTGTAACCAATTAAATTCATAAAAAAATTAACTCAAAAGAATTCAATACTGTATTTGTTTGGTTGAAGTTTATTACACATTAGTACAGGTAAAATAATACAAAAACACTCCATATAAACAACAAAATTTGTACATTCATGAAATTTCACCCGTGAGTTACTAATAATATGAGAAATGAAGATCCGATGAGTCCCCAAAATTTTGGGCGTACTAAGGCCCTTTTTGGGGCCCTTTTTGATCCGAAGGGCCCTTGTTCCTGAATAATTTTGTTTTTACGTTTAAGGTCGAGTGAGGTGTGGTTTTCGATGGTTTTAATTATTTTAAATCGATTGGGACTAGTTTTAAGTGTATTAAACCACTCCATACAGGGTGTTTCGAAATGTTATTACTTTTTACGATATTTAAACATTTATTCATAAAGTAATAAAAATTAGATGCTCTATATAAAATGGGATTGTTGAAAATTACTGTAAATATTCTTTACTATATAAGAGGGAAAGATCACAAGAAGTAAGAGAAAATATTAAATATCCCCGTCACAGCAAACCTGCAGACTAAGCGAGTTTTCATTTGCCCGATTTTCAATTAACCAAAATAGCATTGAGTTTAATGAATACTTAGGTTTACTTCTACAAAGGAGGCTAATAAAGTGTGTTTATCGTAAAATATTAATAACCTTGTACAAAACAAATAAATTTGACTAGTTTTATTAGGACATATCTACAAACAATCGAACAAAATCATTTTACACTATTCCCCTAAAGAATAACATGGAATTTTAATTGTATTCGTAACTAATACACTTACAAAACACGTTAATATACTAAATTATTTGTTTTCTTTAAGCTCTTTAAATGCTCTAGAGAACAATTAATTGGGAAACTTTGTGTTTTGAGGGTCAAAGATTACAAATGTATACAACATAAAACCCTGTTCCAAGGACCGATTATGCCGGTTTCGTTAAAATTGAACCAAAATTACTCGAGTTATCATGTTTACGGACACGTATATAACATGGATATATTATATTATATATATGTATATAAACACATATATAATATTTTGAGTTATCTAGCAACCCTCTAAACAGCAGCCCTCTAAGGGTGCTTTAGGCTTCTGGGGGCATCGAAATGAACACGTAAATCGGTTTCGGGTCTATAAGACCTTCGGTAATAACTCATTTCCTCTACGGGAAGTTTGCTTAAAAGGGATGGATTAAGTTTTACACTATAACATAATAACATAGGTTTCTACGCAAAAATTTCAACTTTTAAGGTGGTGTGAATAATCTTTCAATGTGTTTTTCATAAGAACAATTTCAAATTGATATGTACTTTTCTTAGGTAGTTATTTAATTTTTTTTACATTTATTAAAAATTTAAACAATTTTATTTGTATAAAACCTTACATTACATATTAAAATAAAGTAGCCTACTTAAACTAAAGCTATTTTTCTACAATTTCCGTAGTATTTCTCTTTACAATTTCATCATCACAATAATTATTCTTAGACGACTCATTAACAATTTTATTATTCTTAGCAACTTGTCCATCTTTACTGATTTTGTCCAAGTTGGTGTTCAAGCACGATTCCCCTTTACAAACCTTGTATATTGCAGAACAGGCAACACCAATCTTAAAGCACGAACAATGTGGTGCAAAACACCTTTCATACATATTGACAAACCCCAACTTGTATCTTAATTTCCTCAAAATTATTTTCAATCAATACAAGTACGGTTGTCTTTCGTGGTTATGACGACCAGGACAACACTAAGACATCAGAGCAGCATTGTCGGTACAATCATTTTTGTCCTGAACAATGGGAACGAGGTTTATGGGGTAAAAATTGGGTTTTCACATTTTTACTTCACCCTCAAAACACAAAGTTTCCCAATTTTTCTCTAGAACATTTTAAATAGCTTAAAAACAAATAATTTACTACATTAACGTGTTTTTGTATAGTTATTAGTTACGGATATAAACACTAAAATTGTAAATTAAAAATTCCCATGTTATTCTTATGTAGAATAGGGTAAAATGATTTTGTTTGTTTTTTAATAGATATATCTTGATCAAACTTGTCAATTTTATTTGTTTTATACTAGGCTATTAATATTTTACTATAAACACACTTTATTAACCTCCTTGTAGCAGCAAACCTAGGTAATCGTTAAACGCAATGCTATTTTAGATTTAATTTAAAATCAAGTAAGTAAAAAGGAAATTCGCTAGGTCTGCAGGTTTGCTGTGACGGGGGTATTTAATATTTTCTACTCCTCGTGATCCTTTCCCCTTATGTAGTAAAGAATTACAATTATTTTCAATAATCCCCTTTTATATAGAGCATGGAGGTAACTAATTTTATCACTTTATGAATAAATATTTAAATATCGTAAAAAGTAATAACATTTCGAAACACCCTGTATGAAGTGGTTTAATACACTTAAAACTAGTCCCAATCGATTTAAAATAACTAAATCCAGCGAAAACCACACCTCACTCGACCTTAAACGTAAAAACAAAATTATTCAGGAACAAGGGCCCTTCGGATCAAAAAGGGCCCCAAAAAGGCCTTTAGCACGCCCAAAATTTTGGGGACTCATCGGATCTTCATTTCTCATATTATTAGTAACTCACAGGTGAAATTTCATGAATGTACAAATTTTGTTGTTTATAAAACCCTATTTTACCTGTACTACATAAGGAATATAAGATTACTCACCCGTTGTGAGAGGATCTTTGATTCCCATCGGAATCTTTGTAGAAAGTAGAAAATTGACAAGTATCGTTTGTAAATCCCGCAGGAGCTGACGAACTTCCGCTGACATACACAACATCATAGTCTCCTAACTGTCACAACATTTATAGTCAGTTCATAGGAATATAATACAATACAGTAATAGTGCAGAATAGAGGAATGTGTGCTTTGTAAACCACTGAACCACCAAGGTGCGAAACTCACCCTTAAAATTAAGGCGTTTGAACACATAAGTTACAGTGTGCCAAAGTTTGTTGAGTTTGTAAGAGTTTTGATGAAATAAGTTTAATAATTGAAAATGGAGGGTAGTGGACATCTCAATCCCTGTAAAAGATGTTGTTAATTTTAGAACTAATTAGAATGGAAGTGTTGAGCTACCAAAAGGTTTGCACCGTCTATGATACGAATCATGTGATACAAGTCACGTGATATATGTCATGTGATATTTGTAAACCGACCTTTAATCAAGTAAAACTGAAAGGGCAGCATTGTGTCAACGTATCAAAAACGAAGAGAGGAATTCCGTTTTGACGAAATCGTATTCAGTCAGAGGCTTTGTCCATGATCATGTTTTGTCACTAAAATCATTGTATCCATATACAATGATTTTAGTTTTTGAAAAGTTAATGAAAACTACAACAATTAATTTATGAAAATTTTTTACACATTTTCAATTAGTTGAAAGGATTAACAAGCACACATTAAGACCTCAGCTGACTAACATCTATATTGAGAAGCACACAGGCTGGTTAAACAGTTCTTTTACTATACAAACCTAGGCTTAAAAAGACTTAATAGTGATATGTTGTTGCACTTTAAAAGAAGAAAATCAGGAAAGATAGAATACGGGTTGACAATAATTTTCTAATAGTCCCGCCTTATCGAGGTGTTAGTTTTTCTATTGAGCTAACCTTAAAATCGAGTTGTAGGAGAAAAAACAAAGTCAATCTAATTTCCTCCACACAAAGTGATTAACTTAAATAAACTTGCTGGTTCAGCAAAAAAAGTAGCCAAAACAGTTTAGGATAGTAGTTAAAGTCATGTCATCGGACTTTATGTGATAGCAAATTCTTTCTAGAGAATGTTATAGGATCAGGGATTTTGTACCTTTCCTTTTTAAGAATCTGTTCAAACAATATACTCTGTAACTACAAGACCAATTGTCCAGATTTTAGGAATAAATTCGTATGAATATTGATTAGTAGTGTGGCAATTTACTTTTGTAAAACGTTTTATTTTACCTCAAGTGATATGTTTTTAAATTAGGTACATTTAAGGGGTTGAATTTATTTCAAAGGCAACATTTAATACCTCAATCCAATGGTATATTTTATCCTGTTTCCCTTTATTAGTAGTTGGATTTAGGTAAGGTGATGTCAAAGTAGGCTACGTGAAGTCACGTAAACTAATATCTTCATAGAACAATTTAAGGTCTCTGAGCATAATAAACATTTTGAAGAACTGTAAGGATTATTTTAAAATAATATCGAATCTCACAAACATGTTAACAAGTTTAACACGATGTGTTTACTTACAATATTCAGAAAAGGCGAGTCGTCAATTCCCTTACGTGAAGTCTGGATATTGTTGACGACATCTGACTCGCACGCTCCACTGGCCCCAGCCACGTACGAGAGGTAGGCGGCGAATGGGAGAATGCAGAGTAGTCGGGTCATGCTGGTAAAAGAATATCAACATTTCACACCAATGATTGTAAACAAGGTTTAATGCCAACGATAACCAAAGAAGTTGCAAGCAAATGATAGCATGTGAGCCGCTGAGGCTACCATAACCCAAAATAAAACCAGTGGAAGAACTTCAGGCCATTTTTGGATCAGTGGTCACAGTTGGGTAATGGACCAAACGCCAGAAGCGAAGTTGCCCATCATCATGGATCGAGGTCATGGTCCGGGTTACGGGGAAGTCTGATCCTGATTTAAGTGACAGTTAGCAGAACGTATCTTTCAATAAACAAGGATATTTGAGTATTATTTACTTCGACATTAATAGTCAAAACTATACTCAAGACCGGGGTCTAGAACATTTGAAGTTTTTATTTAGTTTAAAAACGGGTTAGTATTAAAAAGACACATACATTTTTCAAAATTTAGGGACTACTAATTGTGATCGGTGCAATAGTTTTCTCTGAATATGTGGCAAAAATTAGTACCTCAGTTTAATTAATATAATCTATTAAATCTATTGACTAATTAATTTCAAGTGTATTAACTCATGAAGCGTCGCCAACAGACACACAAATAAATAGACAGAAATTATGTCTTGTTTCTGTTTTATAGATTATAAATCAAGTAAAAAAACTCAAACTCAAATATCTTTATTTTTGACAGTCGTTACAAACTGCATAATAGCGTTAACAAAATGTCTCTTAAACAAATAAAAACAATATTTTCGTACGGATAAAATCTAAAAACTAAAGATCATTGTTTTCTTAAAAAGTCTTGAACACTGTAACAACAGCGTGACAAAAGAAGACTCTTAACCCCTTTGCCAAATTTGTCCCCACTATTTTCCATCTTCAGGGGAGTGGGGAGTGCATTAATAAGAAACAACTTTACGATTCTAGGCGTTGTAAATACAAAATTGTGTTTTATTTAGTAAATATTAGATATGACATATTTAAAACCCCAGTTACGAGGACACCTATTTCGCAAGGTAATAGGAGTCTGATAGTTTGGTTGACGAAATTAGACTAAATTATTGTTCTTTATTAAAATCCTCCTTGGTAAAGGTGGCATGCATAAGTAACTCCATCGATATAAATGCATTACTTCATTTATTCAAGTAGCTTATTCTTATCATATTATTTTGTATGGCATAGTTCATATTTAATAGCTTTTTTTCTACATAGTTTGATATTGATTAAAGTTGTAATAGCTCATCTTATATTAACTTAGACCCTAAATTAAAAAAAGTTAGAAAACTTTATTTTGGAGAAGGCATTTTACTCATTGGAGGAATGTATGAAAGCTGTTTAGATGTTAGGCTCAGCCTATGATCTTAATTTTAGTATAAAGACTATAAAATATTGTAACAATGACGAATTACCTGGCTGAATATGATGTTATGTGATTATAGGAAAATAAATAAATAATTAAATCAATAAGTAAATAAATAGACAATTAATTACAGAGTCAGATAATACGTATTTTCTCACCTCATAGTGAAAATAGTAGTAAGCCAATCGACAGTGGAAAAAACACTTCGTTATATTAGTCTTGTTCATTACGTTTTTATATAGTTTAAGAAACCCACGTCATGTTTAGCTAATAAAGATTAGGTTAGCTTCACGATGTCATGACTAGTGATAAAGAAACTATAAATTCTTTAGGCCATAACGTTTTTAAACTTAAGCACTCATATCTTTGAATGGTAGCCTATTTAGTAAAACATTTTAATCAATTAATTATTAAAGCCAACCTTTTTAAACTGGAAGCAAACCTAAAAATAAATTATATTATTTTTTTTAAATCCCTTTTTTATTAGTTACTGATGTTCTGGGAGTTACTTTATGAAGTGAATTCCATGTAGACATTAACAATAGCCATTAATGGTAATATTTACCAGTTAAAATTAATTTTTACCACCAGAATTAGGCCAGGATATTACTGTAAGTTATGTCATGTAAGCTATGTCTATTTACGATATTTTTTAACGATTAATTAACCCAAATAACCAATACAACCAACTAACCGAGCAAGGCTCGGTCCCCCGGTACTATTAATGAAGCTGATAATTGAAAAGTTTATTTTAACACTTAACATTATTTTGCCCAACCACTATTTAACTTAACCATTATGATGCTTCATTACATCACTTTTAATCTGCAATGACTTACCTGTATGTCGTGTTTCGCAGAAATTGTGATAGAAAACGGCGTTAGCCTCAATATAAGGCACCATACACAAAACAAGTTGTCTACACATATTAGTGACATTGTGTGAAAACGTGTACCCATTATAACTGGGAATGGTGGCGTACAGATGTGTGCCCTTCACACATAACAATATAACTCCACACAAGTGTGACAATCAACCGAATTGTCTTTGGCATTCATCTGGAATATGTTTTCGTGGGCCCTTGTTGTTTTGAAATATTTTATTTGCTTAGTTTTTGGGAATTGAATGTACATAGTGTAATAAACTGCAAATGGTTTCTTTATTATTTGAAATGTACTCGTATTGTCAAAAATAGATGTTCGACGCGGAGCTCAAGTTTCACGACCGATGTGAAGCCGTGGTCGGAAAAACGAGATTTGAAAGACACTTTTTGCCCGTGTGATTACCTATATGTTTCCTTATCTTAAAAAATAATCAACAAAACAAATTAAAAACGAGAATACTTTTAATCTATACATAATCTCAAAATGACTGCAAACTTGTTTTCAATCAACTCAAATAAATCTTCAAATAAAATAATATGAAACAATTATTTTAGGTTGAGTGTGAGATAGAAGGATTTAAATAAAAAAGAACAGCTCTTTGTGAACTATTTTATATGAATGAGGAACACGGATACTACAAGTGAATGGGTAAGGTGGGTGCGGCCACGGCGGAGTGATATGTGGCAATGGGCGGTGACTGTACCATCCTTCCTACCATTTAATTATGTGTTTGGTCTCTACACGAACGGATACGACTTTTAACCCAAATTGAAACCCTTGAAGTATAGAATTTGCTGTTCGTTACACACACATTTTGAATTCGAAAACAGTTTCTGCGAGTGCAGCAAAAATTCTTTACGCACGAATTACACTTTCCCTTCAATTATAAACATACATAGATTGAGAATGTTTTTGAAGAAGAGCATTTGCTGCTGTTCTCACTAATAACTAAACAGTTTAGATTTACATTAAAACTTTGTTTGGAGTCATGTCATAGATTAACGAAACTTTCTTGGCCATTTCCGTAAAATCTTTGGTCGTATTTTATAATTTTGCTTGTTAGTATATGTATAGGCCTACTTGTCTTTGCTTTTCAATATACAAAGTCAACAAGCGAATGAAGTTAACTCCTTTTCTTGAACATGTCCCACTAGATTCAGTCAGAAAAACTACATCTATACTTACATAGGACCAGAGTATGTTTTATCTATGATTGGACCGCGGCTTTCACGCCGTAAGGAAAACAGGGCAATTTCGTGGGTTATAACCTTCGTTAATGGACACTTAACTTACAACGTTATGGTCATGGTCTATCAAAGTAGTTCAATCAATACTCTGTATTTCGAACCGCAGGTGACTATGCTGTGTATACAGTTTAATAAACCCTTATAAGTACGAGAATGATTTTATGTACCGTATGAGCTTGAAATAAGCACAACACATTATGAAATAATAATTAATCAACTGACTCACTGGTGTCATGAAGCCCAAAACCAACTGGTTTACTGCTACTATAAAACAGCTGCTTATGTACAGAAAACAGCTGATAAATCGTGCACAGATTCTCATACTGTAATGTTTAACATTGCATGCATATTGAGCGGGTTTCTTCAAGATACAGTGACTCGTAGAAAGTGTCCAAATTCGGTTGTTCTAAAGTCTAATATTACCAACCTTATACAAATATAAGGTTGGTAATATTATTACTCTGGCATAATATATATATATATATATATTATGTATATATACATATAATGTAATATTATATTATGACATATGTCATAACATAGTTTTTTGTTCAAATGGTAAAGCTTAATAGCCTGATAAAAAAAAATAAATGTGAAGGGTTTCTTCACGGCTACAGCTCTAAAAGAAACAATTCAATACTAACATGGTTAGTAATTTAAACTTTGTTTTTAGTTAATTAAACACTCAAAGCTATTTCTACAGATTTTAAGCGATATCTAAGCTTTGTAAAAATCTCAAGCAGATAAAAAAACACACACACGGTCCATGGTTTTTAATCTTAATAAATGCACACAAGAAGTCCCATGTGATCCTGAACACCATGCATAGTCATGAATGAAAGGGAATTAAAGCGTTAGAGAAAATTGAATACAAATCACATACCTACCATCCCCCCGATATTTGCCGGCAAAACAACTATATTATTCCTTATCTCCCTACTATCACGATATTTGACAACAAAGTGAATTAAAAACGATACAAAGTCCACAAAGAAGTGGTGTTAAATGTCGCCGGTGTGGATTGTAGTTGCCTCACCTACACGATATCTGACAACAAAGTTAATTAAACACGATACAAAGTCCACGGAGAAGTGGTGTTAAATGTCGCCAGTGTGGATTGTAACTGCCTCTTTTACACTATATTTGACAACAAAGTTAATAAAAAAACGATACAAAGTCCACAAAGAAGTGGTGTTAAATGTCGTCGGTGTGGATTGTAACTGCATCACCTACACGATATCTGACAACAAAGTTAATTAAAAACGATACAAAGTGCACAAAGAAGTGGTGTTAAATGTCGCCAGTGTGGATTGTAACTGCATCACCTACACGATATCTGACAACAAAGTTAATTAAAAACGATACTAAGTCCACGGAGAAGTGGTGTTAAATGTCGCCAGTGTGGATTGTAACTGCCTCTTTTACACTATATTTGACAACAAAGTTAATAAAAAAACGATACAAAGTCCACAAAAAAGTGGTGTTAAATGTCGCCGGTGTGGATTGTAACTGCATCACCTACACGATATCTGACAACAAAGTTAATTAAAAACGATACTAAGTCCACAAAGAAGTGGTGTTAAATGTCGCCGGTGTGGATTGTAACTGCCTCGCCTACACGATATCTGACAACAAAGTTAATTAAAAACGATACAAAGTCCACAAAGAAGTGGTGTTAAATGTCGCCGGTGTGGATTGTAACTGCCTCGCCTACACGATATCTGACAACAAAGTTAATTAAAAACGATACAAAGTCCACAAAGAAGTGGTGTTAAATGTCGCCGGTGTGGATTGTAACTGCCTCGCCTACACGATATCTGACAACAAAGTTAATTAAAAACGATACAAAGTCCACAAAGAAGTGGTGTTAAATGTCGCCGGTGTGGATTGTAACTGCCTCGCTGGCTACCCATGTGTCGGGATAAATGGTGTGTATAAATAAGCCTCACCTACACATTGTGGGCTCGAGTTTTCCCTCCATTAAAGATTATCTGGCCCTCTAAATGAAACAAGTGGTGTGTGTGTTTCACTGAAGCAGCCAGAGCTACTCGTTGTTGTAGTCTTTTTGGATCTCTGATTTATTAAATACACCAGCCACAGCAAACCTGCTGACTAAGCTAACCATCTATTTGTCTGATTATGTTTTTACTAAAACATTTCCTTAAATATGTCAGGTTTATTTCACATAAGGTCTATTATAAAATACATTTTAAATTAATTCAATAATTTTAATATTTAATTTTATTTAATAATTTTTATAAGATTTAAGTTGAATGTATTTAGTTGGAGTTGGGTAAACTTAAATGAGTTGGCGCACCAGCAAGATCGGGTCATGGGAACGTTACTGGGTTTTTAAGTTTTAGAAAAAATAATTTTTATTCCAAATTTGTACTCGTAAAACATGGAAATACCAAATTTTCATTGAAAACGTAGTGTTATTTAATGTAAAATAGTATTCCAGTAACTAATACATGACACATAGCATATTTACTGTTTGTTACTGTATTATCCTTAAGAATACAAAATAACAATTGTAGTTCTGCATACTCATAGAAATTAAATTCATATTTACCAAAACATGGAGGTTCAAAATTAATGAAAATAAATCAGCACACATTACTTTTACCTTAAATCAGGCTACATGTCCTCCAGTATCCATGAACAATATTCACCTCCCTCAAGTAACGGAAATAAAATACTTGGGCATGCAATTAGATGCAAAGCTTAATTGGAAGGCACATATCTGGACTAAAAGGCAACATCTAAATTTAAAAACAACTAAACTTAATTGGCTTCTTGGATCTAAATCAAAACTCAGTACACAAAATAAATTGTTACTGTACAAAACAGTTTTAAAACCAATTTGGACTTATGGTATTCAGCTTTGGGGATCAGCAAGTACCTCAAACATTGAAATTATTCAACGTTACCAATCAAAATTATTACGTAAAATTGTCAACGCTCCTTGGTTTGTTACCAACAGAACACTTCACAATGATCTTCAAATTCGAACAGTAAAAGAAGAAATTACAAAATATAGTGAAAAATACATTATAAAATTGGAAAATCATTCAAATCATCTTGCACTTAATTTATTGGACAATCACAACACCATTTACAGACTGAAGCGACATACGATATTGGACCTACCATTCAGATTCGGCTAAGTGTTATCAAAATTCTCTTTGTTTGCTAGTGTTGACGGTGGTCAATCACTAGCTCATGTTCTTCAAGTTATTTTTGTATTACTATTTATATCATTTGCTTATTGTTCAACTTGAACAGATTGTAAATTAAATAAAGTTAAAAAAAAAAAAATATTTACCATGTTGTAAATGTTTACATTAGGCTTAAATTTGTCTAGTTTTAAAAATGTTATTTTGTTATATTCTTGAACTAATTCCAACACGTAAAATGATGGTCAAGAAGTTATTTAAGTACAGACCGTTTCACCGTGCTTGGCGTGTAGGGGAGGCAGTGCGAGAGAGACAGAAAAATACAAAAACGTAAACATAAAGCAAACTAATTTGACAACTTATGCTAGTTCACAACTTCAGTATTTGAACGTGACTGTACCGTACATTGAGGCGTAGTGGGGGAAAGCTCTCAAGTGCGCATGCTCCAGCGAGGCGCCATGCACCGTGACACTATCTGTAAGATAAAAAAGTTACAGTATCAAAATTCTTAAATGACAACAAAAATAATTACAGTATATTCATAAAGCTATTTTAACTATACCACCATAATCTAAGGTAATAAGAAGGTGTGGGTGCGGAAACGCCCTCTCCAGGGGC